AACCATTACGATAAAAATCAGGCAAATAAGAAAAGCAATATCAGCAAAGAAAACAGAACAAAAATGGCAAAAAATAAAATAAAAATAATTTTCATAATAACATCAATAATAAAAAATAAATAATATTAATAATAATAATAATAATCATCGTCAGCGTCATCGTCATCGTCATCCTCACCCCCCCCCCCCCCCCCCCGTCCTCGTCCTCGTCCTCGTCGTCTTCGTCTTCGGTTTTCTCTTTGTTTTTTTTTTTTTTTTTTTTATCATTGCTATTATTAGTAGTACTATTATTGTTATTCTTATTGCTATATTATGGTGGCAGGAATTATTTTTGTTGTTGCTATTGTCTTTGTTATTAGTGTTATTACTATTTTTATTATTTTTATTATTATTATTATTTTTTTTACTATTATTATTGTTATTATTATTGCTGTTATTACTATTTTTATTATTTTTATTATTATTATTGTTATTATTATTGTTGTTATTACTATTTTTATTGATGTTTTATTATTATCATTGCTATTATTAGTAGTACTATTATTGTTATTCTTATTGCTATATTATGGTGGCAGGAATTATTTTGTTGTTGCTATTGTCTTTGTTATTATTGTTATTACTATTTTTATTATTTTTATTATTATCATCATCATTATTATTGTTATTATAGTAATTATTGTTATGATTATAATTATAACTAGAATAATGATTAATATAACTAGAATAAGGATTTATATTATAACTAGAATAATGATTAATATTACAATTAGAATAATGATTAATATTATTATCACAATCTTTATTATTATTATTAATATTATTTATTTTTTATTATTGATGTTATTATGAAAATTATTTTTATTTTATTTTTTGCCATTTTTGTTCTGTTTTCTTTGTTGATATTGCTTTTCTTATTTGCCTGATTTTTATCGTAATGGTTGTTAGTAATGTTATTAGTATTACTAGGATGATAATATTGAGGATAATTGTTTTTATTATTATTATTTTTATTACTAGTAGAAGTAATAGTAGTAATAGTTGTTGTAGTAATAGTAGTAGTTGTAGTAATAGTAGTAGTAGTATTAGCAGTAGTAATAGTAGCAGTAGTAATAGTAGCAGTAGTAATAGTAGCAGTAGTAGTAGTAGTAGTAGTAGTAGTAGTAGTAGTAGTAGTAGTAGTAGTAATAGCAGTAGTAATAGCAGTAGTAGTAGTAGTAGTAGTAGTAGTAGTAGTAATAGTAGTAGTAGTAGTAATGGCAGTAGTAGTAGTAGCAGTAGTAGTAGTGTAGTAGTAGCAGAGTAGTAATAGCAGTAGTAGTAGTAGTAGTAATAGCAGTAGTAGTAGTAGCAGTAGTTGTAGTAGTAGTAGTAATAGTAGTAGTAGTAGTAGTAGTAGTAGTAGTAGTAAAAGTAGTAATAGTAGTAGTAGTAGTAATAGCAGTAGTAGTAGTAATAGCAATAGTAGTAGTGTAGTAGGAGCAGAATAGTAGTAGTATTAGTTGTAATAGTAGTAGTAGTTAATAGCAGTAGTAGTAGTAGTAAGAGTACTAGTAATAGTAGTAGTAGTAATAGCAGTAGTAGTAATAGTAGTAGTAGTAATAGCAGTAGTAGTAGAGTAGTAGTTGCAGTAGTAGTAGTAGTAGGAGTAGTAGTAATAGCAGTAGTGGTAGTGTAGTAGTAGTTGTAGTATTTACCTCTATCATTGATATCATAATCACAGGCACCACCATTACGTAGGGGATGGTCATTAGTCCGGGGTTTGCAGGGTGGCATGATATACATGCCTTGTCCACTGTAGTTTTAGTTTATTGATTGTATTTACACATGGATAGCTGTGCAAGCTCTGTAAGTGCTCAATCACCAAGAATTCAATTATTAGTCCTACATGTCTCATCTGTTTACCCTTTTCCTTAATTTTTTAAAAGATTCTTTTTTTATTATTTATTTTGATTAGTATTTTGATGAGATTATGATAATCATAATGTTGCTAATGATCATAACAGTATTGATATTAGCCCAATGCCAGAAAGGAGTTGATTGGTGCCCTCTCCTGGTTTGCCCCTTCTTAGAGTTTTGGCCCACCACACCCAAACTGTCAATGTTGATGCTGTTATTATTATTATAGACATTATTATTATTATAATGGGATCAACCTTGCACTTAGTAATGTAAGAGAGAAAAAGAAGACATTTCCAAAAGTCAAGCAAAAGGTAAACTGGTGAGATAGATAGCACCTGTAATTGCTCCCTGATGACCATTTACTAGTGGAGCTATCTTTCTGTAAAGACAATTAATAAACAAAGCTCGCAGTGAGCCTGGTGTGTACATGAGTGCTATCCCTGGTGTATTATTGCAATTATGTATTATTGTTATTATTATCATTATTATTATTGTTGTTGTTATTGTTATCATCATCATCAGCAGCAGCAGCAGCATCATTTTATTATTATTAGTTTTTGGTTGATATTGTTATTATTATTGTTATTGTTAGTTTGATTCATGTAAATCTTAAATCTTTAAATCTACTACTACTAATAATAATAATTAGTAGTAGTAGTAGATTTAAAGATTTAAGATTTAAATATTTAGTTTCAATTCAATTTGTTACAATGGATATTCTTTGCTGTGACACTGTCTGTTTTAATTTGCCTTCTGAATCTGCCCCTGTGTGCAAGGAATGGCCGGGGTTACCATTCACTGGTAGCGCACAGGATCGAATGCAGGTCAGCAAGATTGCAAGACCAGAACGTTCACCACTGCACTACACAGCACAGTAGTAGTAGTAGCAGTAGTAGTATTGTTATTGTTATTATTGTTATTATTATTACTATAGATATTACTTTAACAGCATTATGATCATTAATATTGTTTTTGATGTTAGTATTATAATCATCATCATTATTGCTATTATTAAAAATGTTTTGATTTTGCTATTCTTGTTGTAGTTATTATTATAATTATTGCTATTATTATTATTATTATTATTATTATTATTATTATTATTATTATTATTATTATTATTTTTATTATTTTTGTTGTTGTTATATATTGGTAAGGGAGTTTGAATCTTGCCAAGAGTCTTAAATTAAGAAGGTCACCCACTTTCGGTAATTGTAGCTTACAACCAGATCCGAAATCCTTTTAGCCTGTTAGGGGTTACATTAGTCTACATATAGAGTACTCTTAGAGGTTACAATTTTTTTTCTTCTTTTCTTTTATTTCTTTTCTTTTTTCTTTTTTCTTTTTCTTTTTCTTAGCCCAAACAATCAAAGATCAACCAAGAAATACACATTTAACCTTTAAAGTGATCAGCGCATCATTTTAAAATCCCCACGCCAGGTTGCCAGACCGGGAATTTCCCACCCCCACTGTGCCAGATCTTCTCCCTTCACTTTTGATGCGCTTCATACACTGTCCTCCAGCATATTTTACATGCAACCATTAGTTTATTATGTAAAATTGTATACATAAACTGAATAAACTTATTTTCAAAACAAAATCATACAAATAACATAAATACAAGGTGGTGGCATAGGGCCCCTCATGCTCATCATTATTGCTTCCCTTGCTCTCAGAATAACCTTCACTAAATATGTAACCCTTATCTTTATCACTATCATCTAAGGGGTCGTCACTATCAGAGTCCCCCTCATCCTCAGTTAATTCATAATCAAACCGTGAAAGCAATGAATGAGTGCTGGGTACATGCTAGGATTGGCAGCGTCTACCAACCATAACAATTAGGATAGCTCTGGCGGCAAGAGAGTACCCAGAATTCCCGCATTTTCTAGGGAAACAAGCCAGACACTCCCAGGAAACTAATTATTGCCCATGCAAGGCAAATAGTTAGTGCAAAAAACATATATTTGTAAAACATCATGTGACGTGAGAAACCTCTGGGCATACCCAACACAAGCACGTCACCTTCCAAGTCCTTTCAAGAGAGTTTGTGACATAAAAACAGAACCATTATCATTATTGCTATTATTGATGTTGCAGCAACTCCAACAATAAAAGCAACAGTAACACTAACAAAACAAAAACAACTATTAGGATGGTGAATTTTTTTTACTATTACTTAATACCCCAGCAAACACAACCATTTACCACTGTAGTAAAAAATGTCCAATTGCTGTTGATTTTACTAATTTCAGGTTAAATGACTAATCATTCAAGACTTTTTCGTAGCATTTATTCACATTTTCTCATTTCTTTTGTAGATGCCGATTATGAAAGATACGTGGTTCACAATGGAGACACAGAAGTGGTTGATGATTTGTCATCAATTCCTCTGGTGCGGTTAATACGAGATGCAGCCGATATTGATGGTCCAGAAATTGAAGACAAGATCAATGACATGGTCAGTGACTTTATATTCAGTTTTCTTTTTGTTTTATCTCGTGTGAATAATTCAGTTTTAACCCTTTGCTGCTGGGTTACGTCTGTATGTGATGTGGAGATCTCCATCTAAATGCAGTCCAAATTGCTTCGACATATACAGCAGTCACTAGCAGCATGGGGTTAATAGTGCTACATCAAAAAGGAACTAGGTTGATTGTGCATTGTAAAGAAAGTCTTATATTTTAATGTTGAATATATTTCAGTGATTTTTAAATTAATATTTCATGGAATACTCTCTTATTTAGTATTCTTGTTTTTTTTTTTTTTTTTTTTTTTTTTTTTTTCCTTTCCTTTTATTTTTTTTTTTTTTTTTTTTTTTTTTTTGCTCTTCCTGTCCTGTGATATTCATTATAGTTTGTATTTCTTTGATTTTCATTTTGTTTTTTGTGATTATACCGATTGTTTTATCACCCTTACCATTATCATATTTGAAATCCTTGCTATCATGATCACCCTCCTTTTCTCTACAATTTAGTAAGTGATAGGTTTAGAAAAGTTCACCATGTTGAAGATTGAAAAAAGAGTAGAAGATATTAGTGAAGTTTCATCACCATCTGTATGTATGTATTGTACTTACCCACAGTCCTTTTTATGATAATTTTATTAGTATTGAGAGTTTATGGATACAGCACATTCATTTGAGGTTTCAGGGAATGAGAAGCTTGACACGCTTACATCATCAGTCACATTCTTGTCGCTCGTTGAATGTAGTGTATGTCTTTATCATAATGTTTACCTCATTATTCCTGTTTTTGTATTTTGTATCAGTGCAGTGGACGGCGTAAACAAAGCTATTTTCCCTGCTGTTTTATGGTTGTGCCATTAGTGGAATGGTTAGATAACTGGGAGGCCTGAATAGCACATATGTAGATGCTATGTGTAGTGGTGTTGGTGTTGGTGATCCCTATTCCAGCATGAACGTGGTGGTGGTGTAGTGTTGTAGGCATCAGGCGTAATGCACTCCTCTTGAAGATCATATTATTGCGCCCTGCTTTCGAAAGAATGCCCTCAAATGTGAAGAGAAAGGTAAATGTGTATATGTATTTGATACATACATATCTTTGTACATGTTAACTTAAATGTCTACACATACATATGCACATGTGAAGATTTATGCATACATACTTACATATGTACATATATTAAAGATGAATGATTACAACAGCAATACACACACAAACACAGACAGCTTAACTCTATATATGCTCACACTTTCATGCCTTCAGATGTCATTAAACCAACTACAGATTACACCTACAAGGGATATTAGGATTAAATTGCAGCCCTCACTCTCAACCCCAAAGATCTGGTTTAATCCCTTCTCATGATGTCCTCTTAATGCTATATGCTCAAATTTTCCCAAAGGTTGCATTTCCAGGATTAGTCCACACATGGTTTGTTTTTGGACTGTAACAGCTGTTGTCCCCCCCCCC